TGGGCACTGTGTGTGTGCATGGACGCCATGCGTGTGCACTGCCTGTGTGTGTGGGTATTGTGTGTGTGCCTGGACGCCATGCATGTGCACCGCCTGTGTGCGTGGGTACTGTGTGTGTGCATTAGCACCATGCGTGTGCACCGCCTGTGTGCGTGGGTACTGTGTGTGTGCATGAGCACCATGCGTGTGCACTGCCTGTGTGCGTGGGTACTGTGTGTGTGTGCGCATGGGTGCCATGTGTGTGCACCGCCTGTGTGTGTGGGTACTATGTGCATGGGTGCCATGTGGATTCACCATGCACTACCACGTGTGCATGAGCACCATGTCTGTGTACTGAGAGTGTATGTGTCTAACGGGTGTGTGCACTATGCATACCTGAGCATTTGCATATGTCTGGGCACGTATTTACAGTATGTATGCATGTGTGCTATGTGTATATACCATACACTTGCACACATATACTGTGTGTGCAGCACACCAGATGCCACAGATAAGGTGGTGGGAGGGTCAGTGACGGGCAGTTGGAGGGACGCCGCTGTGAGGCAGGTCTCCTTGGGAATGAGTAAATCACTTATAGACATGATGCTTTTCGTCTGGGTTGCTGCTCTTTCCCTCTTAAGCAGCATGCGCTGAGATTGCAGAAACCTGAAAGAGGCAAAGTGTGTATCCCACCTTCCCTTCCTGCCTGACTCTCAAGTGAGTTTTCTTTAAGTATCTTTTTTCTTCAGCCTCGAGAAAAAGAGGATCTTAGAAGTAGCAAGGATTCAACATCACACTGTTTTTGTTAGCTGTGTGTGTGTTTCCTGCATATCCAAAAGACAGAGGAGATGAGAAAGCAAAAGAAGAGAAACGAGGAATCAGATTGGAAAGACAGTATGAGTTTGTACTTATGAAATGAAACTTCTATGCCTCTACACAGGCCTGGGAGTCTGTCCCAATTTCCTGTCTCTAACCTCACTGTAAGTGCTGACCCACTTCTGGCTATTTTTATTTGTTTCTTTGAAAACGCTCACTGTGTGATTGGAGTTGACTTGCTGACTCTGTCCTCTATCCTCCCCACCACCTGAGTCCCAAAGGGCAGCCCTTCCCACCTCACGCCCAGTAATTATGGGTGAGTGCAGAGCCAAAGGATGGCAGGGTTTTGTTGGTGGTGTGACAAACGGGTCACCCCTTTCCTCGCAATCAGAGACACAGGGACAAGCAGCTTGCACCTGCACGTGGAGCTTTGCACATGGCCTTTACTGATTTTCCTCGCTGAGGCATGCCCCCTCCACTAAAGATGGGCACCTTCCTGTGTTCCGGAATTCTGGGGGCTGTGCTGACGTTATGCCCCCGCCCCAGCTCTGCACTTTGGGCCCAGGGCAGTGAGCGTACGTAGCTACTTATCTAGGGTTGCAACCTGAGTCAACAGTGGAACCAGGAAGTGAACTCAGGGTCCGGCGTTGTACAGAAAGTTGGGTGTGTTTACTTTTCTCTTAAAGCAAACTTTGATTGACTCTTTAATAAGTTACCATGGAGGATATAGTTCTGGTGAAATTTGACTTGGCATCCAAATCTAAGTCACATATTGATAATGGAGGAGAGGAACAGGGAGTCTTTTACGTTTTTCCAGTTTTATCATTAACCCTAAGTTTGGAAATCTGTTTGCTTTTAAAAGTTTCAGTTTCCCAGTTTAGGAAGGCGAGAGTTCTCTACTGATGAGGGTTTTTTTTTTTTTTTTTTTTTTTTT